ATTGATACAAAATAACAACAATAATAATGATATTAATAATAATAATAATAATAATAATAATAATAATAATAATAATAAATGAAAAATCTTATATCAAACATAATAAGTTGACATTTTTTATGTTTAGTATGGTCTTGATATGGCTATAGTAAATGCAGGTGCTATACCTTTGTATGATGAAATTCCTAAAGAACTGTTAGAGCTTTGTGAAGATTTAATATGGAACAGAAGATCTGATAGTACTGAGCGAATGTTAGAGTTTGCTCAGGTTTTTATATAATAAAATATATTTTATATATTATATATATTTTAATATATATAGTTTAATTTTTTTTTTTTTTTTTAAGTTTTATTTTAACCAATGTGTTTATTAATGGATGTGTAAAAGTTTTTAGAATGATTGTTGATAAGTGTCTAAAGTTATCAAAATGATAAGACATGTTGCGCAACTATGATTTTTAGGTTTTAGGATTTTAAATAACAAATGTTTTTGTCCAATATTGGGTGGCTATATTATTATTGATATACACTATGTTTATGTGAATATGTTATGTAATATTGCCTTCTTTAGACAGTTGGAAAATCAGCTAATAAATTGGAACTTAGTGAGAGTTGGAGAAGTTATGACGTTATTAAAAGGCTTGAATACTCACTCATTAAGGTGAATTTTTAAATTTATGTTATTAAGTTGTTACTTTTATTTAGTTGTAAATGAATAAAGTTAAATAATTTATTTAGGGGATTGATAAATATATATTGGATGATGTTGAAGAAGCAAGACTTTTGCCTCATTTATTTCCAAGACCACTGAATATAATAGAAGGTCCATTGATGAGTGTCAGTTTACATTTCATAAGTGATTATTTTTATTAATTTTAATGTTTTAAATAAGTTTTGACTGATGTTTTATATGACTAATTTGAGTACTTTATAACTAAATATTCTACTAACACTGAATAAAACTTTTAAGATATCAGAGTCCATTTGTGTATAGTATTCTAATTGATGCCTTTATTTACAAAAAAGGTTGGTTCCATCAAACAATCTGCCCAGCCAACTTTGGTCACATTTGTTTTTTAATTGTCTATTGTTGCAATTTTTTTTACTTAAAATAAGTGGAACCTAAAACCTTTCATTATCTCCTAAGAAGATACCAAAATAAGCTACAAAAGAATCAAAATCAGTAATACCTCTTATTTCAAAGTGTTTTTTTTTTTTTTTCACATTTCAAACAAAAGCTGGTATAGCTGTGTAAATCTGGATGATTCATACAGCTACACCACTACTTCTTCAAAATGTCATGACTAGTATATTTTAAAAAAAACAAGAATAAAGAATTTTTAAAAAGTTTTTATTATCTTACTTATCTCTTATTTTTAATTATTTATTTTTATCTCGCTTATCATTAGGAATTATATTCATTTTTCTTGCTTTATCTTTTTTTGTGTGTCTTTTTAACAAAAGTAAACTTAAGTTTAAACTTTTAAACTTTGTTTAAATTATTTTGGTCTTCTATATAACCTAAAGCTAGTACACATAGTAAAGTTAGACACATTCACTATTTTCAAGCCTAAAGTTTTGGTTTTTTGTTTGATTGCCTTTAAAAGTTGTTGTTTTATTTCACTATTGTTGAAAGTTATTTTTTTTATTTCACTTTTACAGCACATTTTGCATTATTTTTACTTGCTAGATACTATAAATAACATTCCAAAGATCACCAAAAAAAAATTACCCTTGTTATTTACAGGTTTTGATTCACTTTTCCTTTTCTGTTAAAAGTGACAGTTCTCTGAACATCGTTTAATACTCTTTTGATCATTTTTCAAACATATGCTAAATTTGATTAAAGTAGAACAAATGTACTAAAGAATTTTTTTCAAATTTTATTATATGTTTACATTTAATCAAAAGTATAAAACTTAAAGTATTTCTTATGAGAATTGGTTGGGAATATTTTTTTCATTTTAAAATTTATATATTTAGGGAATGTCTATTGTTGGCGATAGATTTGGAGCTGGAAAAATGTTTCTACCTCAAGTAAGTAGTATCTCTGGAGAAACAAAATCAAATTAATCAAAGAATCTCAAAAAAAAAAACTAATTGTTAAAAAGTTTGTGATTTTAAATTTATTAATAGGTTATAAAATCTGCAAGAGTAATGAAAAAGGCTGTTGGTCATCTTATTCCATATATGGAAAAAGAGAAAAGGGAAACTGAAGAAAAAAATGGAAATGTATCAAAAGAAATAGAGGTTCATTATGCTAAATATAAAAAAAATATTTTTAAGTTGAAATGAGTTTTAAATTAGCATGCGATAACTGATAGTATATATATTGCTCTTTTATCACCAGCTATAATTGCAAACATAATTAAAAAGCTTTAGTTTATTTAGCTTTTAACACTTTTTTTTTTAGAAGCTAAGCAATGGAACTATTGTGTTGGCAACAGTTAAAGGAGATGTGCATGACATTGGAAAAAATATTGTTAGTGTTGTATTAGGTTGCAATAATTTTCGGTAATTTTTTTAAAAATTTCTTCAGAATTTCTTTAATCAAGTTTTACACCTTATGCACTTCAGCTTTTTAACACCTCATTGTCCTGATATAGGACACAATAGCCATTGTCAATACTACCGTATTTTAATACCTTAACTAATCCTGCTACTTAAGTTTTTAATATTTAAGAAAAATGCATCCATTATGTTTTGTTAACAAGTTGTCGTACAACTTTCAAGCTCGACTCTTTGCGGTTGAATTTTGTTTATCGTTGCGATTTGGCATTTTAACTACTTTAAAACTTTGATATCCAAGTCTCTGTCGCCATTTGTGTACAAAAAAATTGGAAACCTTTTGTTTTTTCGCTCGAAATCTATCAGACCAATCAGGATGTTCTTCCAATGAAGTCTCCAACCGTTCGAGAGCTCTAGGATTTGCTGTGCGTTTTTTTCGACCACTTCCTTGTTTTCTCTGAATAGTTTTCTGTTCTGTAAACAGTTTAAGAACACTATCTACAGTTCTTCTTGATATTTTTTGATTTCGCCAACTTTCTACTTGATAAAGTTGGATTTTGTAAGTGTTTGTCCACAATCAAAAATCTTTGTTTAGTTTGCTCGGTTGACATTTTGAAACTAAATAATATTTTTAATTATTTTTTTCTGCCAAAATGTTTTATTATACAAACACTACCACACACAAAAAAATAATTTCAAAAAACGACCATTAACTAGCTTTACCACACCGCAAAAGGTGGGCAGATTTTTCCGATAGCATGCCTTAAATTGTACCTTAAAATAACTAAATTCTTATTTTATAGCTTAATGTTTTTCAAATAATTATTGGCGCAAATGGTTTTTTAAAAACAACCTCATTTAAAAGTTATTTGTTCAAAAAATATACATATATAAACTATAAGTATTTACCAAACTCTGTAATCTTCTGCCTTATTTCTGGAAGGGTGTATTTGGCTTTTGTGTATTGTTGAAACTTTTGTACAACCTTTCTTTTTTCTAAGCAATAACCTATCCTAGTTTCTATTTAGAAAAATTAATCAGCGGTCTGGTCATATACGTACATTAATTGTTTAAGAATTGTTTAAAAATTTTTAGTGGATCAACTCCTTGAACTTTTGCTAAATTTATGTTTTTTGATACTAAAGTAGATGAATCGTGTTATTCCCCTTGTAGTCAATTTGTGATTAATTAAACAAGTGTTCTGTTTAAATCAGGCCAAATTACATATTTATTATTGCTATGATTTTCCTTTCTGAATGACATCGGTTATACATTTGTTGAGGTATACTTCTTGGTTGATACCTATTCCACTTGGTCATGGTTTTTAGTCACACAAGTTGTAAGGAAAAATCTAGGTTACACCAAGTAGCTCTAGTTGTCACCAGTAATATTAAAGTTTTTATTTTGCATTGTATTGCCTATAATTTGGACAAGTTACAAGTTGCTGTATGGGAGTTCTATTCTCTTTTTTTACATATTTAAAAGAAAAATTATATTTCTCAATACTCCATGAACGGTTTTATTGAGGAATGTTATGAAAAATTTTATATTTGATTTTGAAAAATTGAGTTCTCTTTAGGAGTATTAAATGAAGGATCAAATAAAGAGGTTTTCTTTAAAATGATTTACCTTAGTTGATGTTTGTATCATAAAGTTTATACAAGGATTTATATTTCATTAGTTTTGTTTTTTCAATAAGATTAATTTCCCTGGAAAAATAATAATATTACGTAATGATTTAAGGAAACACCAATCGTTAAAAAAAAAAATTAAATAATATTCAAATTAAATATTGCGCTAATCAGGACAGATGATTAGATTTTAGTGCTTATTTTTAATTTAAATAATTTATTTCATAACAGTTTTATTTTTATTTACTTTTAGTGTAATAGATCTTGGAGTTATGACACCTTGTGAGAAAATTCTAGAAACAGCCATTAAAGAAAATGCTGATTTTATAGGGCTCTCCGGTCTTATTACTCCATCTTTAGATGAAATGATTCATGTTGCAAAGGAAATGGAGCGAAAGGGATTTAAGATCCCTTTACTTATAGGTGGTGCTACCACGTCAAGGTAGTAAATCATTATCTCTCCTAATTTTGTTTCTAAAATCTCGAGCTATTGTGCAATTTATTCAATTAATTCAAGCGCAAGCTATTGTACAATTTATTTATTGTAATTTTTTTTAATAGAACACACACTGCTGTGAAAATAGCACCACGTTACAGCTACCCAACAATTCACGTTTTAGATGCATCTAAAAGTGTCGTCATAGTAATGTCTATTATTCTTAATTAAAAAAAAAAATTTAATAGTTCTTTTTTTTAAATCTACTCTTGTAATTTTTAAAAAAGCTTTTTTTTATAACAAAATTTTTTTTTGTATACTAAATTTTTTATTACAAGGCTCAAGCTTTGCTTGATAATACCAGTAAAGCAGAATTAGTTGAAGAAATCAAAGAGGAGTATGATGAGATTAGGGTTGACTACTTAGAGTCAAGAAAAGTATACTATTTATGTAAATATTTAAAAATATACATTTATTTGTTTCAAATATTTATACATATAAATATTTTTTATGGCTTTTTTACTTTCATAGAAGTTGGGTTTACAATTTTTAGGATAGGAAGTATGTCACTATTGAATATGCTAGAGAAAATAAACTGAAGCTTGATTGGGACAATTATAAACCAAGTTTGTTACTTTGTTTTTTAAGTTTACATTTTTATTTTTATTTTATTTTTCAATTAAATTTTTACTCAATTAAGTTGGGATTAAACAGAAAACATAGAAATGGGTTAAAGAGCAAAGAAGTGACAGAAGACTTGGAAATTAGGAAAACATGAAAACAGGTGAATAAAAGTCTTTAGAGTATAAAAAGTGAAAGGTTGCAACTTTGCTGAATCACTAGTCATGCGAGATTGAGTTTTGTTCAATGAATCAAGTGATGATAGCTTTCATAAGTAAAAAATGGAAATAGTTGCAAACAGAGAGAACTTGGCAGCTAAATAAGCTCCAACAATTTGTTTTTTCATGCAACCATGTGTTTTTTCATGCAAGGTCAAATAAGAGATTTGTAGATGTAGAAAATGGAAGCAGGAATAAGAAAATGGCAAGCACAAGGAACAGAAGCCATTTTAGCAGGTGCTAACTTTGAAATAGGTTGGATATATTGTTTCCATACTATATCGGTTTTGAATTATAATCCAAGAAGACACAGAGTAATTTTTACCCAGTTTCAAACTGCTCTTAAAAAGAGACATTAGCAGTAGTTTCAAGCTGTTCTTAAAAAGAGACATCAGCATTGATTTCAAACTCTTCTTAAAGAGACATCAGCATTAATTTCAAACTGTTCTTAAAAAGAGACATCAACATTAATTTCAAACTGTTCTTAAAAAGAGACATCAGCATTAATTTCAAACTGTTCTTAAAAAGTATTATCAGCATTAATTTCAAACTGTTCTTAAAAAGAGACATCCGTATTAATTTCAAACTGTTCTTAAAAAGTGTTATCAGCATTAATTTCAAACTGTTCTTAAAAAGTGTTATCAGCATTAATTTCAAATCTGTTCTTAAAAAGTGTTATCAGCATTAATTTCAAACTGTTCTTAAAAAGTGTTATCAGCATTAATTTCAAACTGTTCTTAAAAAGTGTTATCAGCATTAATTTCAAACTGTTCTTAAAAAGTGTTATCAGCATTAATTTCAAACTGTTCTTAAAAAGTGTTATCAGCATTAATTTCATTGGTTAAACTTCTAGTTATCTAAATAAATTTGTAAAAAAAAAGATGTTTGCTCACCGAATCACCATATTCTTTAAATTTTTATACTTAGCAAGCAAATACTTGAAAACAAAAATACAAAATATTTATAAAGTTATAAATAGGTTGATTTTTCTTGTTAGTTAAGTTATTTTTTTTATTATTTTATGTATTCGATTTTTCTGCCTTAAGGTGGATTACTCGATACTCAATGAATTTTTATATTAAGTTGTTAGGACTTTTACGTTTACCATAAACATTTTTTCTACTTATTCGGCATTATTAACAGTATTTATTTTAAAAGCTTGTTATTAAATAATGATTTTTTTTTTTTATTTATACAGTTGCGCCTTCATTTATTGGTACAAGAGTTTTTCAAGACTTTGATATTGCTCAACTGATAAGTTATATAGACTGGAAGCCGTTTTTTGATGTTTGGCAACTGAGAGGAAAGTATCCTAACAGAGGCTATCCAAAACTGTTTAAAGACCCCATCATAGGTACATTTTTAAAAAAAAACTATTTGTATTTTCAAATAAAAAAAATTGCTTTGAAAATACAAATGTGAAGTCTTGGATTCCAGAGGCATAGGTTCTCTTTTTTTACCTAAAATTTGTAGTTTTGAAATTTCTTAACTCCATACAGAGTTAAAAATAAGAAATTAGTAATCAGTTTCTACATTTATGTACATTTTATATAAATTTAAAATTTATAAAATGATAGTTAAGAAAAATATTTTATAAAATTTTAAAAATCATAAAACATTTCTGACTAACATAATGTTGCAGGTGAAGAAGCTCAGCGTGTGTTTAATGATGCTCAAGTTATACTTAAAAAAGTAATCGAAGAACATACACTTCAAGCAGTTGGCTTGGTTGCTTTCTATCCTGCAAATAGTAATGTTGATGATATTCTAGTTTTTGATGACCAACACAATGAACATATAGCAACATTCTATGGCTTGAGACAACAGGTATTTTAAAGTATTAGATTATATTATAAACAAGTGTCAGTGTTGAAAATAAAAAAATGTGTTGTCCGTTGTCATTATGTGGTTTGTTTTGATTTTATTGGATTTAAAAGTATACCAAGTGTTAAAAGTAAATAAAAAAGTAATTTTTATAACAATAAGTTTAAATTTGTTCAACATTATAACTTTAAAAGTTTAAATGTTGAACAAATAGGTCCATTTCAGATAGCACTACAGAAAAAGTCTAGAGTTATTAAATTGATATGGTCAGTATTAATCTGTCACAATACAATCGTTTTCTTTGACCAGTATGGGTTGTAGTACTGTCTTATTTAAACTATTTTGCAGTCCTAATTATTTAATTTTTGAACCAAAAATTAGTCCAATCATTTATCTGTGAGTTAGTGCCACTTGGAAGTCTTTTTTTTTCTCCCCTCTGGGAGTGTTCCTGGTAGCAAGGTAGGATTTTTGATGTTACATATATGTCACTTTCAGGGATTGTACAAACTCTAAATTTAAGTATGTTCGTGTTTATGTCAAATGAGAACGTTCTGGAACAAATTGCTGTGATTAGAGCTTGTGAACAAAAAGACCCAAAAAAGTTTGCTCTCCTTACCCCTAACATGAGAGCAATAAGCTAAGAAAATATAAATTTAAGGATAAATTAAATTAATTAAAAAACTAAATTTCATTTCATTGATGTTTTAAATTCCATATAATAATCTTTTAATGTTAAAACGTTATAACCGTGCAAAAATTCTGTTGTAAATTTCACATGGTCATAATTTTTGAAAATTGAAATCTGTTGATCCATCTGTTGTACTATTCTTCTTATTGATGTTTCTGAATCTTTTTGCATTTACTTTGGCTACATGATCTATATTTTTTTAATGAGCATTGTGCCTGTGGTCTTTCTGTTTGTAAGTTATTAAATATTGTCTTTGCTTCTTTCAAATTGAGCATTCAATCCCTGAATTGTTGATGGTAAATGCTTTGTTGTTGTTGAAATTCACCTTGTATTGCAAGAATTGAATTATTATTTCGTTTATTCATACATTCATGTATTCATATTTATGTGTATCAGCACTACTGCATCATGTTCTTGTAGAGTGTAGTCATTCCCAACATTTATTCCCAATATCTAAAAACAAAATGCAAAGGTTATTTAATTAAAGGTTAATTAGTTTTATAGCTATAATAAAACAAATCAGATTGGGTGTGTGTGTGTGTGTTTTTTTTTTTTTTTTTTTTTGACAATTCACATTGTAACTTTCTCATTGATAAATCAGATTTTTTTTAATGAAAATCACATTGTAGTATAAAATAAAAACTTTGTAAAAATAGACAACTTCATTAACAAAAATTATATTGATACAGTATACAATAAGAAAATCTGTAATCAAATACAATTCAATTGCTCAAACTATGGTAAGATGTTCATAATACAACTATGGTAACTATGGTAAGGTTGAAAGATTAGTGACAATTTAAATTTATTGAAATAAACAAAAAAAAAAATTTATAGCAAATACAAGTGCACTAAACTAAGTTTTAATGACCACTAGCAGTAGCAGATGGTTTCTTTTCCTTCGTGGTAGAATTTTAGTTTTCTTTTTGATGTTCTTTTAGTTTTAGAATTTTAAGGTTGTCAAATTGTTAAAAAAGTTTTTCAATCATTAGAAATTACCTTTTCAATAAATAATTAGAAAACAAAATTGTTTTATAACGTAAACATGGTGCATTCAACTTTTTTTGCAATGCTATAAATTAACATTACTTTTTTGTATTTTAGTGTGAAAAAGAGGCTGGAAAAGTTGAACCATATATTTGTTTATCAGATTTAATTGCTCCAATAGGAGTAGAAGATTATGTTGGCATGTTTGTTGTTTCCTGTTTTGGTGCTGATAAATTGGCTGACAGGTTTTTTTGTTTCATTTATTTTTATGTGTAAAAATAGATATTTTTTATTTATGTCATTTGTTATGATTAAAAATAAAAACGATCAAAAAAATTTTAAAGAAATAAAAGAGTGCCAAGTTTGTAGATTTTTTATTTTAAGTTTTTTTTGTGCTGAAAATAATGATGTTGCTGTAACTAAACATCATGCTGTAAATCTTGTAAGGCCATCTTGTCTCACGCGATGAGGTTTAGAACAATTTCTATGTAATTAGTAATATTTGGAAGAGCTTTAAAATTAATTAATGCAAAATTTTTTTTTTTTGCTGTAAGATGCCCTTGTTCACACAAAAACTTCATGCCACTGCTAGGAAATGACCGAAGCCCTGACCCCTACTAAAGCATTCTTTTTATGAACCACAGAATTCCAAACACCTTAATACCAGCCAGTCCCAGAACCATTAACATAGATAAGTTTTTTCCGGGAATTCTAGGAATTCCGGAAATTTACATCAAGTTTCCGGGAAATTCCGAATGCTTTTTGCTATTGATTTGTAAAAAGTTATATAAAATTTTAAATACGACATGGTTTGCATTTAAGCAATTATGTTTTCTATAAATGAAATTTTCACGAGATCAATTTTTTCAAAAAATTTTTTTCTTTATAATTCATTCAAATTAACTTTTTCGAATATTAGAAATTCTTTTTCTTAAGAAGTTAATTGATGTAAATTCCATTTTAAACGTTTGCAAAAGATCTTGTCGTTAAAAATTACTATCAAGAAGAAAGAAAAGAAAATGCAAGTTAAGAGTTTATCTGACATTTCTGAGACAAAAATATTAAAAACAAGTTTCGCTGGAATTGGCTTCAAGAGAAAGACTATAATGATGAGCATTATTCAGCCTATATTACAAAGATAAATAAAGCCGGAGCGGTAAGTTTATTCTCTAACTGAACACTGAAATATATAACTTCATCATAGTTATATATTATTTGATTTGATGTTTTAGGTACGATGCACAATATTTAATAAAGACTTTTATTATTGAAGTGAAGGTAAAAAATTTTTACTCAGCCACTCAAAGTCTAAAATGCATCGTCAAAACTGCGCAATGATTAAGTCCAACGAAGCCGTACCGTCGTCATTTTTTACTAATTTAAAAAAAACAGTTATGTGTATATTGCCATATGGCACTCCGGATAACGTGCATATTGGCAGTACTTGCACAAAGAGAGTAAAGCCTACCATTAAACCTATTGTAAGTTTTAGAGACAGGACATCAAATGCAGAAGCTATGACACTCGCATTTATTTGTGAACACAATCTTCCAATATCTTTAACATCCCATATGATTGAATACGCAAAGGAAATGTCTAAAGATCATCGTGTTTTAAAAAATTTGAAAATGTTCAGAACAACTGCTTCGTATAAGCTTCGAGAAGGATTAGGTGAAAATTTTCATGCTGAGCTTGTTTTTGATATGAAAATAAAAATGTTCTCCCTTAACATAGATGAGTGCTTCTCGGCAAAAAATGAGAAGGTTCTCAGTATACTCGTAGCATATTTTTGCAACAAAACTAATAAAGTTGTATTAAAGCACTACGCGTCATTATCGGTTGTTATGGTAAATGCCGAAAGTCTTTTTAATGCTGTTATTCATTTATTTAACAAAGACGCAATTCCATTAAGTAATCTTGTTTCCAATTTATCAGATTCTACCAATTATATGAGAGGAAAAATCAGTGGGTTTGAAACAAGGTTAAGAAAAGCGGTTCCTCACTTACTTGATATTGATGTTGATATTTATCATCATGTGCATAATGTTGTAAAAAAATTTACTTCTTTTTTCGGCAAGGTAGTTGAAAACTTACTGGATGATATCTACATTGATTTTAAATATAGCCCAGATCATCATACATTTCTGAAAAAAATCTGTCAAATCACAGGTGTCACATACAACACTCCAAAGCAAAGGGTTTGTCATCAATGGTTGTCTGTTTTAGATTGCACTCTTCCTATGCTTGAGATGATGCCTGCTTTCACCTTAATTTATTCTTCTTGGCTATCAAAACAAGACATCTCTCTGTATAAAGATGAAAGTGACAAAATTTTAAAGAGGCTATCAAATGAAAGTAAGAAACTAATAGAAAAAATAAAATGTAAAATGCAGCAGAAAAAACTAACAAAACAAGGTGCAGAAAGAAAAGCTAGAATTGTTAAAAGTTTATTTTTTTGACGTAATGAAACATTACTTTATATTAATTTGTACGTTGAAATTCTTCCTATTTTTAAATCATTCATTTTAACTTTTGAACAAAAAGAACCGTTAGTCCATCGAATTTATGATGAGCAAATTGAACTAGTAAAAACAATTTTAACTTGTTTTATTAAGCCAAAGATGATAAAAAATATAACAGGAGAAAAGTTGAAGTTTTTAAACCTGAAAGATAAAAAAATGTATCGCCATTCGAACTACATATACCTTGGAAGTAATGCTGAAAAATATTTGTCAAGAATACTTATTCGAAATCCTGATTTCAAATCATCGTTTTTAAAGACCTTGCTAAAAGCTTACCTTGAATCGTCAGTTTACTTACTTAATAAATTACCCTTTAACAACCCTTTATTAAAATGCCTCTTTGCGATTGACCCAATGTCTCAAGGTTACGAAATTACAGAGAGAATGCTAAAAAAACTCTCAACTTTCTTTCTCTCTGTAGATATAAATAAAGTAATATTTAATCGAGAAGTTATGCAGCTTCAGATAGATATAGCGCTTCCACCCGTATTTGATGATGGGAAGCCCGTACGTCTTGACTATTGGTGGGCTGAAGTTTTTAAGTGTAAAAAATATTTAGAGCTTAGTAAGATTATCAAGGCATGCTTAAGTATTTTTAGTAGTCCTCATGTTGAGCAATCATTCAGCATGATGAACACCATAGTTAACAAAAAGACAAACCGTCTTGATACTTTAACGTACTCTGCTATAGCTTCAGTTAAGTATCAGTTATTAGCAAACGAGACCACAGCAGTAGGGTACTTTAAAAGGCGAGATATATTGCATGACCCACTTAACAAAAATATCTGTGGTCATTTGCAAACTGCAAGCAAACGCTATAATAAAAAAATGAAATTCCATCGGAAAAATAGAAAAGTTGAAGAAAGATTTTTAAATATAAATTCAACGTCGAAAAAAAAAATTGCCTTACATGAACAGTGCAAAAAAGTTAAAGAATCTATTATTGATCATGCAAAAAAGTGCAGAAAAAGAAAAGCTGACGAATGCTTCACAACAGAAAACTATAAGAAAAAAAAGTATTGATTCCTGACATTTATTCCATTGTCTTACATTTTATATTTTAAATATAAATAAATTATTGCGCTTTGCAGGTTGCTTATGTTAAAACTGAGATATTATATTTCATTTTAGAGAAACATAATTAATGAGTAGTTTTTAGTTTCTTTATTTATCCCTTTACCAACGTTCCAGAATTTACCCACATACCTTCGTCAATTTATTGACCCTAAATTTTTCCGGGATTTTCCGGGATTTTCATGAAAATGACTTTCCGGGATTTTCAAAGAAAAAAATTTCCGGGATTTTCATAAAGTCAAAAACTCATCTATGCATTAAACTGGGTTTTAGAGCTATGCCTTCAATAGGAAAGAACAGATATGTTTTTGTAGCTTTTCACAAAGAGGTTCAAACAAGAATTTATTCAAGAATAATCAGCTTCCTAGGTAGATCCAAAAAAAAAAATAGACTATTTACAACTTTTAATTTATTTTTTTAGTTACAAAGAAAATTTTGATGACTATAGTTCAATTATGGTAAAAGCAATCGCAGACCGCATCGCAGAGGTATATTTTCCTTTTATTTTAAAATTAAAAATAGTTTGTGGAAACATTTTGATTATAAATAACTAAGAAGTTCTTATAATTCTCTTTTAACTATATTTTGAAAAAAAAAAACATTAAATAAACTTTCATTTATTAAATATACTTTCTTAAAAATTTCCTCTTGCAAATAATTTCTTACAGTTTTACCTTACATATAATAAATTATTTATTATGTGTTATTTTGAAAAAAAAACATGAATTTAGTCTAATCTAAAGTTACAGATCATTTATTTTTAAGATTACTTGTTTTTACCTTGTTAATACATGCAATATACTTGTAGAATATGTTAATACATGCAATAGTGCAATAGTTAATACTGCAATATACTTAGATTATATGGGTTATGCTTAGTTTTTTTTCGGTTTAAAAAAGTCATATATTTAAAGTAAATGTTTACCTTTAGCTAGGTACTTTCCTATATTGTACAAGTTTCGTGGCTTCTTTCTATCCTCTTTCGTAGTTTCTTTTCTCATTCCTAGAAAAATAGTATTTTATCAATTTAAAGGTTTGTTTTCTCAGAAATATAAAAAATCACTGACACAGTTTTTTCTGTGTGATTGAAATCAAGTCCTTTTTAAATATTCAGGCTTTTGCAGAAAAACTTCATGAAATGGTTAGAACGGAACTATGGGGTTATTGCCAAGATGAAAATTTAAGTGCAACACAGCTTCATCAAGTTAAATATTTTGTAAGTTTTTTATAGCCTGTTCTACACATAAAAATTATTTAAAATATTGTTGAAATGAAATTTGTACTTTTAGGGTATAAGGCCAGCTCCAGGTTATCCAAGTCAGCCTGACCATTTGGAAAAGCTAACCATGTGGAAGTTAGCAAATGTTGAAGAGTTAATAGGTGTAAAATTAACTGAATCTATTGCTATGGATCCTGCTGCTTCTGTTTGTGGTCTTTATTTTGCTCATCCAAAGTCAACATATTTTGCAACCGGTAAAATCTGTTTGGATCAGGTAAATGTTTTTTCTTATTTCTTAACTCATTTTGTTTTTATACATGTAAATATATACATATATAAATCTAAACTCTAAACGTTTTTCATATATATGTATATATATATATATATATATATATATATATATATATATATATATATATATATATATATATATATATAAAAATTATGTTAGTGTATTCTACAAATAGAGTGCTCAATGTTCTTAAAGAACAGAGCAATAATAATTTGGTAAAAACACTTATCTAATTTTTGTGCTCTTCAACAGGATGTTTCACCATCAGTAGGTTCATCAGGAAGCTTCCTGATAAACCTACTGATGGTGAAACATCCTGTTGAAGAGCACAAAAATTAGATAAGTGTTTTTACTAAATTATTATTGCTCTGTTCTTTAAGAACATTGAGCACTCTATTTGTAGAATACACTAACATAATTTTATATATATATATATATATATATATATATATATATATATATATATATATATATATATATATATATATATATATATATATATATATATATATATATATATATATATATATGCAGTAATATCCAAAAGTAACTGGTCCAACAGCTTTTTTTGTCATATTATCTTGTTAACTTTTTAAAATGAAATTTCTAATAGCTATGTTAAGTTATACTACAATTGAAAAACAAAAATAAAAATCACATTTGGAAGTAATTGCTCAAAAAATTTAATAAAAATATTGATTGACTCAAAAGTTATTAGACAAACTAAATTCCACTTTTTAAAAGAAAAAAAGTAAATCAACAATTTTTTGCTAAGATATTATAATAGTTACTTATTGTATTGTTATAGTGAAATGGTCAAAGTTAGATCCACACTAGAGTGCCAAAAAATTCATTGTGAGTTTACACAGTCCCATTAAATTTCCTGTTCTTAAGCAACTGTAAAGCATGGCTTATGACAAAGCCACCATTTTTGCAGTCGTTCTGTTAAAAAACCTTTTGTTTCTGAAAAAGATTTTAAGACATAAGTGAAGTTCGCTACAGAACATTTAAATTGGACAGCTCAGCAGTGGTCAAAAAATACTATGGAGTGATGTATCAAATTTTAATATTTTTGTCTCTGACTGTATTAAATATGTTTGACATCCAGTAGGTCACTAAAATAATATTAAGTACCAAGTTCCCACAGAGAATTATGTTGGTGGCTCACACAAATAAAAAGATAAAATAATAATTAAAAATAAACAAGGACATGATGCTGCCACATGCAAAGAATATGGTTGGGCTTGACATGACAACAATCTGAAGCACACATCTAGGCTAGTCACAGAATTTTTTGCTTAAAAGAAAGAGTCTTAAAATGATCAGCACAATCTCCAGACCTGAACCCAATAGAACATCTTAAGGAGTACATTTCGAGAAAAATTAAGTCTCAAGCCAACTAATCAAAAGGATTTATTTGAGTTGATTAAACGCACTTGGGAAGAAATACCAATTGATGTTTTATTTAATTTGGTTGATTCAATGCCGTGATATGTTGTTGTTGTGGCCAAAAGTTTTCCAACCAAGTACTCTCAGCAAGAATATCCAAGTTTATTCTGATACATTAATCTGCCTGATCACCCCATTCAGGAGATAAAAACTAATTGTCCCAACTGGTTTTTCTTATATACCAATTAGACATTTAATGGTATTGATATGTTTATAACTAAATCAAGTTTGCTATTGTGAAGTGAAATTTTTTTATTGTATTGTGCTTTAAAACCACAAAATGAATATGGTCCTCCAGCAACAAGCCTGAGTGAGCACAAAATTAATATGGTCCTCCAATAACAAGTGAAGTAAATTTTAACTTTTTTAAAGAGCTACATTGCAATTTATAAAATTCTTCTGTTGATCTGTTGTTAGATTTTGGTATGAAATATGTTTACTTTGTGCAAGTCAAGCTTATTTTTCAAGTTCAGTAATTCAATTAAGTTTAGTATTTAATGAAATTAAAAAGTTAAAAATTCTACTTTATAAATATTGTGTTGAAAGTATTTAGTAGATTTATTAGTAGACGGTTTGGTGTCAAAACTTATTTTCTTAGTATAGTTCAAGCTCAGTCAAGCTCTATATCGTAGATGATAATATTAATAAGGAATCGTCATTTTATCGAGACACCATCTCTAGACTTTACTCAACCAAGAGCCCCAAGGCAGGGGATTTTTCAGTCGGAGTTTGGTTCTCCTAGCCTTAACCTAAAAAAAGCACACTCTACAAGGCAGCAGGGCATGGGGCAAGTAGTACTAGGTTACATACTACCAGTTTGTAATCTAGTAGCAGGGTGATCGTTATAATCCTAAACCTGACCTGGTTTTTGCGAAATAATGCGACCTGGAAACTTGGATCTCAATATAGTCATTGTTTATTGAGGTGTCTGGCATGTGGTACCATCTTGCTCAAAAAATTTATTTTCTAGGTCCATATAATGAAAAATATCTTTATTTAAGGTAGAAAAAAGAAAATTTTTGAATAAACATCAGCACATTAAACCTACAATAAAATCAAACCAATATAAACTAATTAATTTTGAATTGAGTAATTAAAAACAATTTTCATAATTATTAATAATTTACATAGTCAAAGAATACGCTGTCATAAACTTGCGTGCCAAAATATTTTTCTTTTAGTTTCGCAAAATTGTTTGTTAAATGAATACTACAAACATATAATTTTTTAGTAATATATTCATTTAACATCAACTTTTTTTACTATAAACTGAAAAATGAATAGTTAATATAGTTTTAAAAATATAAAGAAAAATAATGTTCTATAATGCCACTTCATTTGCAATTTCATACATATTTTATGTCTGTGTTTTTTTTTTATACATATGGTATGTCTCTGCAATTTCATACATATTTTATGTGTTTTTTCTCCACGTCGCAAATGTTTTAATGCCATCAACATCTCTTTTATTTCCGTAGATTAACAGAACAGCAACATTTCTTAAAAAATAGTTCTAATAATCTATTTTTCTCTCGTAAGTAGGTGAGGTCATAAGACTAGCTCTTCTAAGTAGGTGAGGTCATAAGATTGACTCAAAAACACTGTTTTGTCTCTTGTATTTGCACAATTTCAAGTATAGACTTTTCAATATTAATGTTTTGTTTTTGTTTTTAATTGAATAGTTTCTTTGCACCCTTAAACAATTAGTTTTTTCTTCACCCTTAAACAATGTTTTAGAAGCTGCAAAAAACCTAATTCAAAAATTATGTCAAAGATCTCTTTTTAACGGTGTCCGTAAAAAATTTAATTAATTTTGAATCTACTATACATTTCATATCTTTTAGGTTAAAGACTACGCAATAAGAAAAAAAATGTCTTTAAAAGAAGTTGAAATGTGGCTTTCTCCAGTTTTAGCTTATGAACGAGAAGATTTATAACATGTTTATATTCAAGATATTTTATTGCCAAATGAAAAATCTTTTTAAGTATTTATTGATAACTATTTATTTTAAAAACTGTTATACTAAATATACTATTTACATATATTATAATATATGACATATTTTAATAACTTTTTGTTGTCCACTACTTTAACAAATTAACAAGTTATTTTTGAAACACGACCATTTTAATGATGGAAAACTGGTTTTAGTTGCTCCATAAAACCATATGCGTGTTGCGGAAACTATAGGAATGATGCGGAAACTATATTCATGTTGCAGGATTTATATGCATGGGATGAAAGTACAATCTATATTAGTATACATTGTACTTTTAATACCGTCAAATGGAGTAAACATGAACACTATTTAACCACCTTTTTTTTTACCAGAAGAAAAGTGTTGACCTTGATTTTTTGATTTTTCTAGGGCATTAGCGTACTTCTAAAACATGGTGTGAATAGATGGCCTATTTGGAATGACTGCATAACGTTACGTAATGTTTGAGCTTTTAAATTTATTGTTAGAGTAATAGATTTTAATGGTAAAAAGATCCAGTTAAAAACAGTTATCAGGATATGTATTATCTATAAAATTTTATAACTCACTTCATGTGAAGAAATAAAAAAAGTTTAAACCAAGCGTTTTCATATCACAATACTTACCAAGCTGCTGTATATAAAAACAGAATATCGATCATTGTTATCCTCCCAGCAAACTCTCCCTGAATGGTTATCATTAGCATCAACATATGCATGCGTGTTGTCATCGGCATCACCGCGCTGGAGATGCCGTTTGTGTCAATGATTTGCCATGATTGTTTTACGAACAGCAACATTGTGCCAATTATGCCATTAGGCATCTTGCGCCAGTCTTAAACCATTTATTACAAAAAAATATATATGCAGTTGTGCATGGTAGGTCGAGCAACTATATATTTTTGTATCCTGTAACTGGCAGATCATTTATATGGTATGAAGGACAGAGCGGATTATTAAATCAGCCAAATTCCTTTAAGTAACCTGCCAAATAATTCGGCAGAACAAATGTTAGAATTATTTTATTGTGATCCGCCGAATATGCTATGAAAAACAATATACTTCATATTAAAACATAATGGTAGAAAGAATCAATGTAGGTTCAAGTCTCTAAACGCTTGATTCTTTCTAGTATAAACTTTTAATTTAGGTTACTTTGTATGCATGTCATTTATATAATGATCTGCTCTGCTCTGCAAATTATACCTACCCAAACGTTAGCTCATGCACGCACGCCTCAAATAGAAATGACGAACTTTAACCTTTTACTAGTTTGAAACTTATTGTGTTGTATGTGAACAATATGTATTACAATATAATACATATTGTTCATATACAAGACATTAAGTTTAAGATCAGCAATAATTTAATAGGCTAAAGTTATTATAGATTGTATACTATATATTATTATATCACAAGTTATGTTATATATAATATATATTTATCGCGAGGTTAGAATTACTTTGTTCCATCTCCACAATTGAGTTAGTTTTTAAAAAAAATTGAGTTAGTTTTTTAAAAAAATTGAGTTAGTTTTTTAAAAAAATTGAGTTAGTTTTTAAAAAAATTGAGAATTTTTTTTCTTTTTATAGATAAAATATTTATTTTTTACAAATAAATCAGGAAAAAAAAGAAATTAACTTACTATACCTAAAATTGCATTTTGTCCTATCATTTTTGTTTATAAATTAAAATTATAATGTGCTATCTCCGTTTTATCTAATCCTCACCCTGTAAAAATCTTAGGTAACATTATCAAAAAAGTCTGTTGTTGCTTTTTTGGGGGAACAAAGTATATACCCTTGCGTACCTAAAACATAAAAAAATTTAATCTTTTTCTGACATCCAAGCCGTAAATTTCACTTCGAACTTGATGAATAAAATTACAGCTTTTTTAAATATTTGACGATTGTATATGTTCCTCCATCCTCAAATACAGCAGGTTTTAGTGTGTAATGAATAAAATAAAAGTTATAGCTAATAAAAGAATTGAGCAGCCGTGGCGCAGTGGTTGTGCTCTTGCCTCAGAGACAAATGATTCGTGGTTTAAACCCCCCACCTCTGGGCAAGTTTTGCGACATTGGTTAGGAAGGAGGCGTGAACTTCCAATTAAATGCTCATCCGCGGTGCTCTGTGATAAGATCGTAAGGACTTCTTGAGGCACCTAAAATTAAAAAAAGAAAAAAAAAAAGGTTGAATAATTTGCTTTTTATAAAAATTTCACAAACATTTATAAATGATGAGTTAAATTACGAAATATAAATAAACCTAAAATATGAGCATTTAAAAAATGACAACAAAATATCAGCAAATTGATATTACCTGTGATGTTAATATTACCTGTATTACCTTTTTGTATTTCTTATTTTTAAATGTAAATAAATGAGAAAATAAAAATATGCTAAATTATCATTTTTGGGATTTTTTCCGGGAAACACCACTGTCTTCAGATTAATCCATAATGTCATATGTCTATGGTTTAAATTATTGGGAATTTGTATCTAAAAGGTTTAAAGTGCCTACAAAAGCCAAGACACATTATGAATTTCGCAAATGTGAGTGCTTCCTTTGCATGAAGAAAAGTGACCAAAAACTGACAGACTTTCAAAAAACAAGAGTATTGCAGACCATTGGCTAACACATAGACTTTACCAATGCAAGAACACCTCTTAGAATTTTTTTTCTTTTGAGATACCATGACAAAGTTGACAAAGGCACTTCTCTTCCAGTTCTCTTCAATTTCACCTCTATCACAATCAAACCACTGAAAAGAATTAGTCTTGCATGTGACTACCTCATTTTCAGCATTGGACAACTCCAACTGAATCAACCTCATCGATTGTAAGCTGCCAGCCGAACAGCACTTCCACAGATTCATCTGCATCAGCTGCATCTGCTGTCAAACAGTGTGTCAAATGCCTTACAGTTCTTCATCGTGGATACCCACACAATTGTACACTTGGAACCACACATGAAAATTTGCAAAAACTTTTTCAGTCGTGCTTTTAGAACCAACAAATTGCTTCTTTAGTAATCAAAAACACACCATCCTCTCTTGGTAAAATAATCCAACTCAGTCAAGACTAAAGAGGAAAGCGTCTGTCTGTACGACAAGGTAAAAAATTGGCATTTTTTGAATGAAAATAGGTATATAGCTGTAGGCAAAGTATTACTAATGTGTTTTCTTTTATTTAGATCCATCTCTGCACCAGCTACCACTTCCAGAAACCTTGACTAAAGCTAGCCTTGTGCAAGTGCAAGAACTGGCTTATCAAACTCTAAAATGAGACAGCTGCCAAAACGCTGAATTAAATTCGTGCAGGCAGAGTTTGTGCATTTCCAGGCTTTCAGTTTCATAGAAACATTTCGAAAGTTCAACAAGGTAGGATCTGCCTTATATGGAAACTTCCTTAATCCCAGCTACAAAGAAAAAATTGATCAGTTCAAAAAGTCATTCATAAAACTGCAAATTTTAGTAACGCCTAAAGTACACACAGTCTTTTTCCATGTGCCATATTTCATCAGCATTCATGGACAAAGTCTTGGAGTTTTTAGTGAACAGGCAACAAAGCCTTTACATTCCAATTCAAGGTGCACTAGAAAATATACGAGAGACAACCAAACCACCTTGAGTATGGTCATAATTTGCTCAAATGTGTTCTCGACTATATTTACAAGCACTTGCAATGAAAGACAAAATGTCAAGTCTTGCTCAATAACCCATAAAGCCATCAAGAAGTCATTAAAATACCAAAAGACGAATACTTGAAAGTATTTTGTAGAAAAACTTTGGAAATTTTGTACTTTTCTTTTTTTTACATGTTTATTTTACAACTACAAAGTATTTACAAGTAACCAATCACAGGTTGACGGTAAAGATATTGGTGGTAAAGATATATTAACATTGGTATATTAAGATATATATGATATATTAGGATTGGCGGAAAAGATATATTAACATAAATATCGTAAACATAAAGTTCGAAATATACAAAGTAAACAAAAACATAGTTGGATACAACTCCGAGACACGAATAAAATAAACACCAATTACAACAATGTAGTAACGTGTATAAATATAATCCGATAAATATATCTCTATATTATTAAAATAAATTAGCTGATTTTTCGAAGAAGTGTTTAGATGTTTAACTATAAGTTTATTTACCACATTTCAAACTAATGTTTGTGTAAAAATATGATAAAAACGAAATTTGTGTAAGATTGATAATAAGAATTACTTGTTAGTAATTATAGGAAGCTCGCAGAAGACTTTAGTCAATCTTGTCATCGAATACCTTTTTCTGGAAGTGTAATACACATAAAAATCAGTTGCATTTGTGGTATATATGTATGTTGTACATATGTACCTTGTTATTAATATTATTATTTTTTATTAATAATTTGTATTAAAAGTTAAGCTACATTTTTTTAAATTTTTTTTATTAGTATTTTAAAAAATTTCCTTGTTTAATTTGATTATTGTAGGTTTAATTTGATTATTGTATGTTTAATTTGATTATTGTAGGTTTCCACTGATTTCTTTTGGAATCTTTTGTTATATTTTTAGAGATTCTGTGTGTTTATTAAAGAAAATGGTAAAGTAAACCTGAGTGAATCAAAGGAACCTATGTTTTTTACGATAAAACCCCTTTTTCTCCGAGTGATATTGTTAATATAATGTATTGTTAATGTATATTTTGTCTCCGAGTGATATTGTTAATGTACCTTGTGTTTTTTTTGTAATTTATTTTGTTGGAATTATTAAAATCCTTTTAGAAATTTGAACTTTAGCAAACATGTATTTTTCAAGGTTTTAGTGAAATATTGCTCATAGGTATACTTGAGAGAGGTATACTTGAGAGAGGCACGTATACATTCGTCAAATAATTAAAAAAGCAGAAATTTTATTTATCAAATTCAAAGTGAAATTTACGCTTTGGATGTCAGTAGAAGATTTAAATTTTTTATGTTTTAGGTACCCAAGGGTATACACTTTTGGTTCAAAATATATATATATATATATATATATATATATATATATATATATATA